ATTAAAACTTTATTTCCTTGTTTAAAATTCATGAGCCCCGAATTAATTTGTTCACGTTTAACATCATTCAACCTTTCCATTTGCTTTCTAATATATTCCCATTCTTTTGAAATATCATTTTTCATTTCCACTGGTTTCATGTTTATAGTTCTATGCCATGTATTATTATAATAATATACTAACTGCTGTATGATGGAGTCATGATTTCCATCCCAGTATATCTGACCGTTAACCCCTAACGCATCTCTAAGAGTTCTCATTACCGCATCAACTATTTTATTATGAAACGTATATGGAGAGGATGAGAAGAAAAAATTAATTTGTGGGAAATAATGAGTCATAGCTGCCTGAAATCCTTTATCACCATCACCCCTGATATTATCTACTCTTTCATGATCTAGTAAGTATTGAATAGCTCTTCTTGTTTCCTGTTTTGTTTTCCCTTTCACCGGAATGCAATATAAATATCTAGTGTTAATGTTAATGGCAAATAAATAAGTAACGTTTCCTTTTGAATATTCCAGATGATCGATTTCGTATGAATATGGATATGGAGCAAATGAAGGTCGACTAAATTTTTCCTTTAACGGTTGAATTTTCGGGTCAATTGGTTTATTTAATATCTTGAAATCCTTTTTAAAATCTTTTTGCTTCTTTAATGTTTGAAATGGATATAATAAAGTGAATGATGAAGGATTAACTGAAGGAGGAGGCGGTACTGTCGTTGGAGGTTTTGGTGTTGCAAGTGGTTTAATTTTATCTGCTTTGATTTTGGATTTCATTCCTTCCTTCATTAATTCTGGATGTATTCTATTCATTTGTTTTAAATATGCTGTATATAAAGGTTTGATATACTTTCCCGCTTCGAGTTTATGTTGAAGGATGAATTCCAAAAGTTGATCTTCATTTAAAAGTCGGGCTGAATATGGTTTAACTAATGAATCATAAATTAAAGCTTGTGCTTCATTTATGGTCTGAAGGACCTGGGTGTTTTGCACCTTTGGCTTTTGCGGCTCAGGATTATATAATTTATATAATTCATCAATATCTTCTTCTGTTAATACTTTATTTTTGAAATCTTTCAACTGTTTAAGTTGTGATTTAGTTTTTCCCTTTGAATATTCATTATTTTTAATTTTGTCTTTAATTTCAGAAATTATTTTATTATGATATTTCAAAATTTCATTTTTATAATATGGATAATAATATTCCATATCATCACCCGTTATATTGTTATCATATTTTTGGAGATATGCTTTTAAATCATAATAATCAAGAAAATTTTGATTAAATACTAAATTATCAATTAAAATTTTTAAATCTACGCTATCCATTTATATAAAAATAAAATAAGTGTTTTAAGGGTGCCCACCTCTTTGAATCATAGTATCAAAACCATCATTAACGGTTCCTTTTGTCTCTTCTGTGGCATTTCATTAAATAAATTTTAAATTATTAAATAAATGGCATACAACATCCATTTTCACAACATACAGCCTTAGTGTGTGCTCCTGTTAATGCAGTCTTACCAATTGTTAAGCGAGTCATTGACCCGTTTTTAAGTTGTAAATTAATATTCTGACCATCAAATATCAATTTATCATTTATTATATCCAAATAATTTTTAGGTGTTAATTGTTTATTTTGTCGTAAACTAACACCTTTCATTTTTTGTGCAATCTTTTTAAAATCACTTCCATCAATTGAACCGTTGAATGATGTATAACACTTAGGACATAAAGCAACCATGTTATCACCTTGTTTCTCAATTGCTAAACCCAATAACTTCTTCTCATGTGCTTTTTCTTCAGCTTTATTCTTTAATTTAGGTTTAAATTTCTCATCAAAACAGAAGAAATCAAATGGTGCGAATTTGAAAATGTTTTTATCATAAAATTGTTTATCAGTAACAATTGCTTGAAATGCTTGAGTGTTAGGAAGATTTGGGTCGCCAGCGATTGCCCAATAAGATGAATCAGTATCACCTTCAATGAAATGAAAACGATTAATTCATGCATTTATACATAAAATCATAAATGAAAACCAAATACCAGTATTTAGCATTATCTAAAGTGAAGAATGCCTCTTGTAAACATGTATCACATCTATAAAATCTATCTTTGAGCATCACTTGATACGTATCCTCTCCTATTTCTCTTATGTTTTTAAACTTATTTGACATACATGCAACGCGTGCTTCTGTGCATTCATTATTTTAGTCTTTGCGTAATTTTGTGTATTCATTGCATCGTAACCATATGATCCATTAAGTGAAATCTTGCAAAATAAACTTTTTCCTTTATTTCCTTCTAATTCAGCCTTTTGTCTTTCGTTCATAAATTCGTTCGCAAATTCATTAAAACAAGTGTTTTTCGTAAATGTTAAAATTGATTGAATATCATCAATGATAAAATGAAATCTGTCTATTAGATACCAAAGATAATAAGAAGAAAATGGTTGATATTGGTTGTGTGTTGATGCTAACTGAGTTAATTTTCTCTGTTTCTGGTCAACTGGTAGATTGTTTGATTTCATGTAATTATACATAAAACTGCCAATTGTTTTTTCATCTGTGATAATATCTAAGTTTCTTATTATCGGTAAAAAGTTTATGTAATCATTAATGTATTTTTCATCAATGTGACCCTTTACTTCAGCCACGAATAAAGTATTTTTCTTCTTAATATTCCCAGTGCTTTTGCTTTCTTTGTTGCTGTATCACAAATGATAACACCATTCAATCTTCCCGGCATATACATTTTATGGTCAGTATATTGAATGAAATCATGAGGATTAGATGAAAATGATGAAGGATATAATGAATTAAAGTCAACTCCAACGAAATGAGTCATAATGTTGGTGGTGTCCTCATTTGATACAGTTTTAGTTTCTGGATTATATGAAAGTTTATTAATGTGCGTGATTCCTTTAAGATTAACACGATGTTGAACATTTGATAGACCACCAGTAATTCCATTACGGAGAATGTGATAAGCTTCAACTGAATCTAAAGTCATTGGTAAATTATTTTTTAATGCATAATTTCTTAAATTGATTCTTAAACGTTGAACATCTTCATCTTTATTTGATTTTACGACATTGCAATAACAACACATTAACTGACAATTTTCTTTGGTATGTGGTTTTTCATTATCGATTCTATCCAATGTTGGTTTATTTGCATATGTAAACGCTTTACCACACATTTTGCATTTAGATGAAAGGATTAAATCGTGATAGTATTGATAGTCATCCATTGAAACATTGTTTTTGGTATCTCTTTTCGCCTTTTCATCTTGTTTCTTATATGATCAATTTTATATTTCCAATACTTTTTTGTTAATTCAAAACTTGATTCCACATTTTCTTCTTCTGGATATGTTTCGTTAGGATTGAAGTTCTTATATGCTAACGCGTAACGAATCATTGATGCATTCGATGATAAAGAAAGATTATGAAGCATGTCAATTTTATAAACAAATGTTTCTTCGATAATTTTATCAATTGGGTCAATCATAATTTCAACGTCTTTATTGCAATAATGAATAAAATATTCTAATCTATTCTCAAAATTTTTAGCATCATTGAGATATATTTGATAATCTGAATCGGATATTGTTTCTTGTGTTAATGCTGAATAAAATGAATCTTGAGTGAATGGTTCCTTTTTATATAATTCATCTTCGTAATTCTCCCATGTGATGAATTGATAAGGGAAAAAGGATTTAACACGTGATTTATTGTTTCCGAAATCTTGAGTGAATTGGTCTAATGTTCCACCCGCTATATAATTTCTGATGTCAATAAATCTTAATTCATATGGACAGTTTGTTTTCTTTACTATGACTTGCTTAAATTGAGAAGAAGAACCCAGCATTGATTTTATCTTCCATTTTGCAGTATTTAAATCACGAAGAATTAAATTTAAATCAAACTTTCCCGAATTAAAACCAATGATATTCACTTTATTAAATTCTTCATCTAAAAGCTCTTTCATTGCTTCCTTTTGTTTCTCATTTAATGTATTCATTAATTCTTCATATTGTTCAATATTTGATTTAGCAACTAATGAACAGGTTGAAAATAAAAATTCAATCCAATCAGAGATGAACGAATCACTTGATGTTAAGCAAAAATTCCTCGTAAATGTTTTATCACGGTCTACGACCTCGCCGCTTTGCGGCTTTATTTTGACAGTTGATGATACCATAAATGGTTTTAAGTAAGCGTTCAAAGTTGCACATTCAGAAAGTTGAAGTTCTTCTTTAGTCTCTAATGTTTCGAAGTCAAAAGTAATATAATATCTTGTTGGTTTATAATATTCCTGCAAATTATGTGCTAATAGCCATTGATATATCTTCTGTTTCGTGATATGTGGTGCATATGGTTGTTGTGTGTTTTGCAATTGAACGTCTTGAATTAATCTTCCATTATTTTCTTTACATTTCTCACAATGTTTTAAAAATCTTCTTTGGTTTTTCCTTTCTGGATCATCACGGATAGAATATACTTCTTCTTTGCAAAAGGGGCAAACTTTATATCCTGTGAGTGCTTCAACGTCTGTAATTCTGTCAGCGTGAAGTTTTCCACATGGACTCTGTGTTAATAAAATATTTACTGTTTCAAATTCTGGATCTATCATTATTGATTCCACTAATGGAAAGTCTACCTTGTTAATGTCTACGTCTTCTGGTTGAGGGTCACAATAATAAAAATCAATATTAACGTTTAACATTCTTGCTAACCTCTCACTTTCTGATGAAATGTCAAATCCTTCATATGCATCTATGGCTTCATTTAAATAACTTCTACGAGTTTTAGGATTAACACCATCAGGAATGTTATAGAAGCGTTTAAATAACCTTCTACCTTCGGCTCTTATTTGATTATCATTCATTTTAGCTGTTCCATTTTTGTTCATTTATGTAAGAATAAAAATTAAAAAATAAATAAAAATAAAGTTTATTTTTTTTAAAGTCCGAGACTCAGAGAGTCCAGGGCTAAAGTCCATAAAATGAATTAAGAACACATAAATTTTTATCATCTGCGACGTGACGAATACATTTTAATTTACTCAAGAATGCGTACCCTGATACATTAAATCTAATTCCTGTCTTATTTAATTTCACAACTTTGAAAAGGAATGTATGAATAGCTATAAAATGATGAGAAGATGTTTTATGGGTTGCTTCCATTTTTTCTGAAATAAATGAATAAATATAATGTTTATAAGTTTTCATATCTTTTATGTTCTTAATAACGAATGGTATAGACCTTTCCACTTCGTCTTCCTTCGGTGCTGTTCTTTCATATGAAACATTATTGGTATCTTCAATAATGAAACCACAATCGCATAAAATTTTATATGTACCAATTGTTTCTTTTGATATTTTATCTAACAAATCAAAAACTTTATCAACACCTGTACATTTATTTAAATAATAATTTGTGTAAATATCATGGTCTTCTTTCTTAATCGTATTTGTTGCATATGTTACATTTTTCAGTGCTTTTTTGAATTTTTCAGAATCAAGAGGAGGTGAAAGTAATATACATGGATAATCTCCATCGTCAATAAACTGAAGCTTATGTTTATGAATAAATTTTGTGCCTTCTTCTGAAAGTGTTTCGTCAATATCACCATCTAATAAATTTTTAGTAGATTCCAAAAAGTAATTTTTATATCTTTCCTCATGTGATTTTTGAACTTCTGATTCTGAAGCTGGGATATTCATTAAACCCTCTACTTCATTCTCAGCATTTCTCAATTCACTAATTCTTTCATCTATTTCATTTCTTAATTGTTCCAATTTCTCAATCTCATCGTTATAATATTCATCTTGTTTAATTTTTTCTTCAAAATATTCAGGAGGTGTTTCAAGGCTCTCTGAGCCCAGGTCCTCTGGACCATAAAGAGGAATATTCTCCTGTTTTTCAACTTTTTTGGGATATAAATATCTCATTATAGCCTTTTTAGTAATTGGTCCGTTATATTTAAATTCATTCAACAATCTGGAAAACTCTTTCACATTCTGCATATATGTTGGATAAGAACCGTCTCCAAAATTTTCTAAAATATTTTCTAATTCTGAATTAGTGAACTTTAAAGATTTCAATGAATTAGTTGTTATACTCATTTATTATAAAATAAAAAATAAAAAAAATAAATTTAACTTAGTTTTAATTTTACGTAAGAAGTCAATTTTTTATATACCGTCATTTGTAGGTATTATTTCTATCAGATAAAAATTATTTTTCTATTTGTCATCTTTATATAAAGATAAAAAATATTTTTGATTAATAAGGAATTAATTTCATTTTATGTCTTATAATGTGCGCATATGTATTTAAAAGGCATTCATTGAATTGCTTTTCAATCTCTTTCTTTTTTTCATCTTCGAATATTATATCATTTTCATGTTCGAAGCTTGTAAGTTTGTTATCTTCAAATATTATATTAGTTTCATATATCAAATTATGATATCGGTCATATTCTTTTAAGTGATAAATAAATACAAAATTTACGGTTCCTTTAATTTTAAATTCAAAATTAATTTTACAACAGCTTTGTGGATCAATTAGTAAATCAATCAAATAATGTTCAAAATCAGATATTATTCTTTTTCCATACATTTTATATTAAATAAAAAAATCTAACTTTATTTTTTCGGAGTTTTGTGACGAAGTGCGAATCTTCACTTCGTCAAAAATATATTCTTTTTATTAATGGTAATATAGGAATTGTAGGAATAAAAACTTTTTATAAATTATTCATAAATTTTTAAAATCTGCTATTCGGAAGTATGTTCAAAAATCATTCAATTATGTGAGAATTCTTACGATTACAAAAAAAGTCACACAACCCACATCATATACTACTTAGATTTTGAGGTTAGTAAGAAGTTGGAAACTTTAAATCATATTTATATTCAATAATTGATACTTTGTTCTCGGTCAAAACTCGCAACTCCCGATAAATTCTAAATTGATTTCTTAGAAAACAGGGGGCAAAACCTATGTTGACCCATAAATTTCCCGAAATAAATCTGCAATAATTTTGATTCGTAGGTGACATTTAGATACTCAAATATGGATACTTACTGAATCAAACAAAAAATGATATTTTCGCGATAAACTTTCATTCATGGAACAAAATCACTTCACTTTGTCTAATTTCACATTAATAATGTTCAAATATTGAAACAAATGCATTAAAAAGCTCATATACATCAACTCTCATAAAATTGTGGCAGAAAACGTAAAAATTTTATCATATTTTTCAAATCAATTAAATGGGAAAATCACAACCTGTAGTTACCAAAGAACTCCTAGATAAGATCAAATCAGCAAATTCCCAATTTTCATTTATTTACGGAACTGTCGCCCAGTTTTTCGTTGCTTTTCCAGATCCAAAGACATGGACTAAGAAAGCCGAAGGTGTCTTAACGTTAGATTATGATGCCCAAAAATGCGTTTATCTTAACCTTTATGATTTCAATACAGCAAGACTTCTTTTCTCACATGAACTTTATTACGATTTTAAGGACAAATGCAAAGCCCCAGTCAAGGACTTCTTCATTTTCCCTTCAGATGTTTGCATGATGGCTTTCCAGTTCCTTAGTGATACTGAAATGAAGAACTTTTATAAGCAAATCAAAACAGCATCACCAAAGAAGAAGAAGAAATCATTCTTCGGACGCAAGGACGACGAGGAACAATTTATTATTTCCGATGTCAAGTCTGTTGATTACGTTAGTGGTGCTAAGCAATCTGATAGTTCATCAATTCAAATTACCGGTGAACATCAAATCCTCGAACAGACATTACAGGAAATGGGCTACACCCAGGACCAGCTCAGAGACCAAACCATCGCACAGAAGGTTATGGCTAGAGTTCTTAAAAAGACAAATACAAAATTGAATCCAGATGCCAAGCCAGAGAGAAAGGCTCCTTCACCAAAGTCATCATCATCAAGTGCTCCAAGCGGTGGCGCACCTCCTCCTCCACCACCACCTCCTTCAGCTGGTGCTCCACCACCACCACCTCCAGCTCCAAAGGGTGGAAAGAAGGCTGCCAAGAAATCAGGCGGCGGCGGTGGCGTTGTCAAACCAACAGATGATGCTCTCCAAGACATGATCAAATTCCGTAAGAAGAACGCTACAAAGGTTAAACCACCAGAGCCAAAGCTTTACTTCCAGGCCGGCGGTGGCGGCGGTGCATCTACAGTCGGAGCCGGTCCATCACCAGGTGCCGGCGCTGGCTCATCCCCAGCAGCTGCAGCTCCACCTCCAATGGTAGATTCATCCAACCCAGCTGCAGCCGCAGCAGCAATGCTCGCAAGAAGGAAGAATGCAGCAGCAAACAAAAACGTATCTGCACCAGCACCAGCTCCAGCACCACAGCCAGCACGTCCAGCATTCGGTGGCGCTGCAAGAGGCGGCTTCGGCGGTGCAAGACCAGCTCCAAAGCCTGCTCCAGCTCATGCAGCTCCTCCACCACCTCCAGCCGCAGCCGCAGCTCCTCCTCCACCACCTCCAGCTCCAAAGGGTGGAAAGAAGGCTGCCAAGAAATCAGGCGGCGGCGGTGGCGTTGTCAAACCAACAGATGATGCTCTCCAAGACATGATCAAATTCCGTAAGAAGAACGCTACAAAGGTTAAACCACCAGAGCCAAAGCTTTACTTCCAGGCCGGCGGTGGCGGCGGTGCATCTACAGTCGGAGCCGGTCCATCACCAGGTGCCGGCGCTGGCTCATCCCCAGCAGCTGCAGCTCCACCTCCAATGGTAGATTCATCCAACCCAGCTGCAGCCGCAGCAGCAATGCTCGCAAGAAGGAAGAATGCAGCAGCAAACAAAAACGTATCTGCACCAGCACCAGCTCCAGCACCACAGCCAGCACGTCCAGCATTCGGTGGCGCTGCAAGAGGCGGCTTCGGCGGTGCAAGACCAGCTCCAAAGCCTGCTCCAGCTCATGCAGCTCCTCCACCACCTCCAGCCGCAGCCGCAGCTCCTCCTCCACCACCTCCAGCTCCAAAGGGTGGAAAGAAGGGCGCAAAGAAGGGCGCAAAGAAGTCTGGCGGCGGCGGTATCGTAAAGCCAACAGATGATGCTCTCCAAGACATGATCAAATTCCGTAAGAAGAACGCTACAAAGGTTAAACCACCAGAGCCAAAGCTTTACTTCCAAGCTGGTGGTGGCTCTTCATCTCCAGCAGCAAGTTCCGGACCAGTTAGCACTGGACCAGGTGGCGGCGGTGTTCAAAATATTGCTCCTCCAGCCGGTGGCAACGATCTTGCATCTATGCTAGCCGCTAAGTTTGCAGCTAGAAGGAAGGTTTAAAACTAGTTTTTAAACAAATTTTGGATTTATTAATCATACTGATTTTTTTTTAAAAACTTTCTTTCGATTTAGATTTTTTTTTATTTACAAAATAAATCATATTATTTAGCAAAATCACGACTCACAGAGGTTAGTAAACAGTTCATACATATGATTAACTTTGAATCAAAGAAAATATAAAAAAATAATTTTAATTTTTTTAAATTTTTAGAGTAAGCATCGATAGAGTAGTTAAGAAAAGAAGAAAAAATTCGAAAGTTTATTTGGTCAAGTCGAAGAGTTCAAGCATCTTTGGATCTAATTTCTTTTGCTGATCGAGGAAGGCTTCATAAGGAACAATTGTGTACTGGCCATCAGATAATGCTGTCATCTTAGCTGTTTGTCCACTTGTAAGGGTCTGGAAGGCAAGAGCGCCCATATTTGTACCCATAAGGCGATCGAAACCTGTTGGAGCACCACCACGCTGAACGTAGCCGAAAATCGTTTCACGAACGCTGAGATCTGTTTCGTTCTCGTGCTTTGATAAATATTCAGCAAGAGCTTCGCATCCTGGCTTCCAGCCACGGGAAATAAGGCAGATGCATTGGGTCTTACCAGATTGGTAAACTTTCTGAAGCTTATCGACAATAACATTGATATCCTTGCATTCTTGCTCTGGGGTAAGAATAAGGTCTGCGCCGGAGACAAGACCAGCTCTTAATGCCAGTGAGCCGCATGTCTCACCTTCACAACGAATAAGAAAGGTTCTATCCATTGTTGATTCGCAGCTGCGGATTCTTTCAACGTTCTTGACAATGTTGTTGACAGCAGAGTCGACACCAAGGCAGATATCAGTGCCAACGATATCATCTTGAATTGTAGATGGAATTGCCACTGTTGGAATTCCAGCGTCAACAAATTTCTTGGATTGTGTGAGAGATGTGTAGCCTCCGATCACGACGAGACCTTCGATTTTCTTTTTCTCGATGTTGCTGAGCATTTTCTTGAAGCTGGCATCATCATCAAAGAGGTTTTCTGGACGACCTGTTCCGAGGAAGCAGCCTGCTTTACCCATCTGACCAGAAACGTCTCTTGATGTGATGATTTTCATGCTGTCGTCTCTAAGACCGATGTATCCGTAGTTAACGCCATAAACGTGAACTTTGGCATGACGAGCTGAACGTACAACTGCACGGATTGCAGAGTTGATACCAGAGTTATCACTTCCACTGCTTAAGATTGCGATGTTTTTCATTCTATAAAAAATATAAAAATGAGATGTTGATCGTTATCTTCTCAAATCTTGATGTCAGTTTTATAATAATTAATTAGTGAATTATATATAGACTTCTGGTGTAAGACATTTTTATTTAAAAGTGACAAAAACAGCGGATATCAATTCAAAATTGAACGATACAATTTTCCCCGATGATTTGAACGATCGAAAATTTCCATTGTCAGAAGTGACCAATTTCGTCAGAATTTTAGTTATGGCTCTTTACATCAAAAATATACATTCATATCAGCGGATTTATGTTCGTTCTGATTGGATTATTTTCAAATCGTCAGCCCTTCTCAATCCAAATCAATGGCTTGGGATTTGAATAATATCTGTAGGTAGTCGCATTCGGTCGTATTAGTACACAACAACATGGATTCTTTTGGTAATTAGAAATTTTATAAAATTTATCTGCTCTGATCTTGATATATTCGCCTATAGAATTAAAGTAATTTTGAATCAAAAAGAATAGAATGTATGTTAAAAACATCTAATATAACAAACATTGATTAAAACAATATTCGACGAATCCTTTAAATGATAGCTGATAGACATATCAACTATTATAACATATAATAATATAAACAATTTGGTAATTAAGAAATGAAAATACTAAGCATTTTCATCGATGATAAATGAATTTTTCATTTTGAAACCATTATTTCATTTGAACATGATGTTCTAGTTTACCTGTGAGGTGACAATGCTTTCTAATCTGGTTTACGTAATATTCTGATCTATCAAATTGATGATAAATTGCAGGAACTTTTCCTTCAACGGACCAGTTCCCAAACTTCTGTCCTTCTGTTCTTTCTGGATGACCTATATAATATCTGAATCCAGAAAGCATGAAATCATTCGAATAATTAAGAAATTTGTATTTAAAGAGTTTTTTAAAATGTCCAAGAGCCATACTAAAAGTAAGGTAATGCTGATCATCTCCAGCACCTTTGCGAGACGTTTCATTACCGTATTTTCTCATAATTTGTGTAAATTTTATAAAATTCTTAACATTTCCTGCTTCCATGCCAGCATTAATTGGAAGAAGGTTCATTATTAGTTCTGTATAATTAGTATAGGGACAATTCTTGTCATTAGTATATCTACAAGTATTTTCAAATTCGTATTGGACCCAAACGTTTTCGTTAAATAATTTATAGTAATTTGCATCTTCGTGGCATAAATAAAATATATTACCGCCTGTAAAGCGCGAAAATGGGTCTGATTGGAAGATTGTATCAAATAAATCAATTTGAATGACATTATCGATGTATTTTTGATTCTGTAGGAGATAATCACCGATAATTGCCCATCTGTAAAACCAAATATCTATTTTGTCTTCGAATTTATACGGAATTATTAAAAATTCTACTCCGCATTGTGCTTTTTTGATAATACTAGCGGCTTTTCGATATGTATGGCGATCTGTTATTACTAATATTCTACATTCATTATTAAATGTGCGAAGAGAATTGATAAATGGAATGAAATTGTTGATTTTATTAAAAGCTGTTGTTATTATCATATCTCTATTTGTAGAAATGCTAGTACTTGATGGAGTAAGATCACATCTATTGCATTTATCTTTCTTCGCGATGTAATCTATTTGATACTCTGAATATGAAAGTATAAAATATGTACTCATTTGCTGTTGTTTGAATATTGAGCAGAAAAACACCAATTGAAGAAATATTACGAACTTTAGAAGATTATTCGACGTGGGCATTAATTTTTTATTTCGAAATTTTTTTTCCCATCAAAATCTTGCAAGAAAAGATGATTGAACAAGAAATCTATAAATAACTTCATAGTTCATTGATTTGCATGATCACCGCAGACTTCCAATCTTTTGAGGAATAAACGATTCTTATTCAATAGTTTCCGAAATAAAACCAACTTGTTTTTTTTAAAACCACTTTTAGATTCAAAATTTTGAATAAATGAAATGAAATCTTATCCAGAACATAATAACAGAAACAATTTCATAAAAAAATAAACTCTACCGCATATTGAATTTCATTGAAATTTAAATCGTTTGATGATAGTTGAAGCTTTATGTGCACACCTTAGCTGGGAACAATTCTACATGAACGAACCTATTACAGACGACCATACTAATGTTGCTACTTATCAAGATTATTCTGGCTCAAATATTAAAGGCTTATATGTACACCAATCCCAATTTATTAGTCTCAATGGTGACGGTGCAGGTGCTATACTCATTCAAGCTCACAAATTTTCATTATTTGAAGATCTGCTTTTCTTTGATTGTTCATCATATCAAGAAGGTTCGATAACTGCACACCAAGGATACATAATCTTTAATAAAATTTGTACAAAATACTGTCGCGCAGAAAAAGGATCGTTTATCTACTCAAATGCTCCAATTCAATTTCATCTTACAACAGCTTTCAATTGTTACGCTTCCGGAGATGATTCTTCTGAAAGTTCCACAATGGTTTTGTTAAAACCAGCAGAAAACGTACTTTTCCTAAAATCTACAAATTTAACTGAAAATAACGCAGAAGGAGCTTCTGGCATATACATTGGATCAGGAAATATTACGTACTCCTCATTTATTAACAATAAATGCAAGACAAACAATTGCTTTAGGACTTTTGACGCATTTGAATTAATTGATCATATAAACTTTGTAAATAACAGTGTAACAGAAGCGACAAACGGAGTTTCTCTTTATATATCTCCATCAAGCGAATCTATTACAATTCTCATAACAAAATCCATATTTAAATTTAATATGGAAAATAACCAGAAATTTGTAAAAGCTGAAAGCGAAGTTTTATTTAAAGATTGTTATATGAATGAAATACCAGCAGATCAATCCATTTCTTCCATTAATAATGATAATTCAAGTCAAACATTAGCAATTACATTCTATTTCTATGAAAACTATTGTTTCACAGATCCAACTGCAACTCCATCTCCATCTGATATCCCTAAAACTCCATTTGCTACAGTAGAACCTTCTTCAACACCTGCAAATTCAATTTACCTGAATGAATCACAAACAAAGAAATTTCCTAATTGGGGAATCGCAATAATTGTTGTAGGAATACTTATTGCAATAATAATTATGGTAGCTGTTTTCCTAATTTATAATAAATTTAATAAAAATGATGTCTCTAGCGATTCAATGGAAAGTGAACAAGCAAAGGCTCTTAATTCATCATTGTACCCTGAAACAGTTAAATACGAACCAGGAAATACAGGAGAAGGCGAAGATGATCCATTTAAGAAAGAATTTGATGGAAGTGATCAATCTATTGATGAAGTACCTTGTGTATAATATAATGTTTCTTAATATTATGTTTATTTTATTATTAGTAAAAAAAATTATTTTAATTTTTTTAAAATTTTTAAATTTAATGATAAATAGATCAATTCAAATACAAAAAATCTTACTAAAACAACTTATTTTGCACTCATTTCTTCAAGAAGTTGTTTTGCAATTACAAATCTCTTATGTTCCTCATGATATGGAGATCCTTCGTACAATTCGTTAAGTCCAATCAATTTTCCTGGTTGCTTGATTGAACTTAGCATCATCATTTTCTTTGTTGACCAGAAAATGACAATTTTAATTTTGTCAGTGAAATTTACTTGGATATCTCTGTTTTCCATCCTAAAAAGTGTTGCATAATCTGTTCTAATCCAGTATTTCACGTGCTTTAAAGGAATATTAGATTTATATTTGTTTGTTGGAAGCTGGAACATGGATCTATTGGTCTTTAAGTTCTCAGAAAACTTTCTAATAAGTAGAAGTTTCTTCGAGTACTTTGTATCGTGAGGACTCAAAATTTCAGGAAAAAAAGTTTGATAATCCGGCCAATATTGAACGAATTCTTCGTGTGGATCCATGATCATTCTGCTTGAATCATTGAAACAAGCTCCAATCGTTCCATCAATCAAAAGATATCCTAATCCGTATTTTTCTGCATGGTCGCAGAACCTGGAGACGCAATATCTTGGCATTGTTGCTTCTGTGCATTTAATTGGGAATGCATTTATGCAATTATTGTCAACATTTTCTTTTTGCTGATCAGGACGAGGATTTTCACGAGGAATTGTGACTGGTTTAATGATTTTTGGCTTTTCCTGTGCTATATCTAATAAACTCTGCTTGTTACATTCCTGAAATTCAGGAGAATTAATTTGTGTAATGAATTCATGATATAACAACTCTTGCGCAGTTGGGCGGAGCTCAGGCTTGATCTGAAGGGTTGATTTGATAAAATCTCTTGCGGCTTGTGAAATCTTTGGTTCGACAGGAAAAAGATAAGAACAAGTTTTGATATGCTCGTAAGTAAGCTTTGTCCTTGCTGTTTGGAATGGCGGGCGTCCGATTAACATTGCATAAACGGAAACTCCGATTGCCCAAATATCAACTTCATAACTATGACCTTTTGAAGCATCTGCCAATATTTCTGGGCTTAAATAATTTGGTGTTCCACAAACAGTATACTTTTTCTCATCATCGTAGCTTAGTTTAGTACTTAGACCGAAATCTGCAATTTTTACTCGACCATCTTTGCCAACGAGGAAATTTTCAAGCTTGATGTCACGATGAATGACTCTGTTATCATGCAGATACACAAGACCTTCAAGAACATCTTTAATTACCTTAACAGTCTCAAATTCAGTCAAATTTCCTTTCTTTTTGAGAAGATCGCGGATTGAAAGGCCAGGACACAATTCTGTAACTATGTAATGGTTTGTTGCATCTTCAAATGCTCCATAACTCCTTAAAACGTTTGGATGATGCAAAGCTGATTGAATTTGGATTTCTAGCTTTAATCTCTCTTGCGCCTTTGGTTTTGTGATTCTGTCTTTTGGAATTACCTTCATTGCGTATTCTTGGCTTGTTGATTTCTCAAATACTTTGTAAACAGTTGCGAATCCACCAATTCCAAGAACATCTTGCTTCTTATAGACATAAGCATGACCATGAAGACTACTGATGATAGTATCAGGTGCTGCTGCAGGTTTTTCCATGAAAATGATTTTAACGTCTTATTTTATGATGCATAAATCGATACAAACAATTGATACGAATCAGAAATGGTGATGTAAATCGATATCATAAGAAAATGCGCTTTAACGTACGAAATTTTACTCTGAATTCAGTAAATAATTCTGTATAAACTGATAACTGTCAACAAAATATGTGTACAATTGGTAATATTAGCCATATATGCTATATAACTTGTAAAAACGTCTTGAGATGTAAACTTTCTAAGAATATTAAAGGTAACTAAACTCCTTTCGCCGATCCGATTTGCTCCATATTTAAAATATAGCTTGCATATGTAGAAGAAAAGCTAATTTTGAAGTACGCCCGAAATCCACCAACAGGATTTCGAGCTACTAAAAAGGTACTTTTAAATGTGATTTTTTTATAAAAAATTAAATTTATTTTAAGATCAGACTAAAAACTAATTTTATGGAAAATCTATATCGACAAATTTATTACTTATTGGGTATATAGATTTTTTGATTATGGCGATTATGTCTGATATGCTTCCAATAAGCCAAAACACATTTCATACTGATTTCTATAAAAGGTATCTTTATTATAGAAGTGTAAGCTATATATGTTTGTTTTTTATTATAACAAATTCAAAATTCTCTTATAAGGACTAGATGAAATCTGTATTACTAAATCATTAGCTAAATGAAGGTTCAAATAGAAAGTAAATATCAATTTATATGATACTGAAACCAAATAGTTCTTTTAATAAAAGATAACACTCTGAAAATTATTGAGTATTTGCAAATCTCAAAAATCTATTGGTGAATTTGGCTCAACTTTTAAAATTATAACATCCATATCAAATCATAAAAGCAGAAAAAAATTAAAGCCAAACCTATCGGCCAATTTTTTTTTGATATTTTGATTTTTGAGGTATACTTTTAAAAGTGGATTTAAAGCACTGATGAAAAAACATTAACTTCTGTCGTTATGATTATTGATTTAGACAATAATGATTTTAATCTTTGATTATCAAAACACTAAAGTCATCTTTTTAACATTTGCTTGGTAGCATTAACTCAAGTCTAAAGTACTATTTTATGTGGCACTCTTAGAATTTTTGTATTCATTGTACACGCTGAAATAGTACCATTAAAGTTATGGCGGACTTTCAAAAAATAGTTTGGTCACCTTGAGAATATTTAATATTAAAGCGATTCTATCAGGAACTAGTCTAATAAAATGAAAGGATATTCGTTGTAAATCGATTAAACATAGATTTGATCATCAATATAATCGATATTTTTGTTAAATAAATTTATAGAATAAATTAACTACATTATTTGGTATCCTTAAGATCGAACGAGGCTTTGTAAATTAAATGCATGATTCGGTTTCTAAAGTAAGCCATATGATAGATAATTATTTTGAAAATCTAAATGGAAATGTAATGAAAATGATATGGATCTAAATATTTGTTCTAAATATGAATATATTGCTATGCATTTGAATCAATCTTATCAAGAGATAAGTCGAAAAAGGATATTTAATATTATTCAAAAAAGTGTCAATGTTTTTCTTGTATCTTCTCGTAGGTCTTGTTGCTGCTAGGCCATATACAAGAAAGGAAATTGCATTCATTACACTCACAGTGCTTGCAGGTATTGTATGCGGAATTTTAGTTTTTCTTGGAATTTATTTCGGAATCAAGTTTTTGATTCACTTACATCGCAAAAATAGAGAAGCAGCTCTACCAGAAGGGTTTATTGCAGACGTTGAAGAACCTCCACCAGCATAACTCACAAATAATTTTTACAACAAATATTTTTTTGTAAGCACAAATTATATAGAGAAAAAATACAGCTTAGCTTTTATAATACGTTCATTTTTGAGCGTATTCGTTATTTATTTTGTTTGTTTTTAAGTAAAAAATTTATTATTTAGGTAACTATAACTTGTATTTAGTTTCTTTCTCATGCATAATGATCAGACATCTTCTTTTTAACATTGAGTAACTTAAAGACATTCTAACTTTTTTTGAGATTTTGAATTTATTATTTTTATTAATCTATCATAAATGTTTATTATTCATTATTGATAGATATGTATGATTTAAGTCTTTTCTTAAAAACATAACTTATTTGGTATAAAACATTATAATTTTACTATTTTGTGAATTACAACAAGTTGAATCCCTCAGAATTCTTAATTGCAAACATTATTTTATCTTTCATTACCTTTTCAGAGGGATAATGTGGTAGCATTAGCATGTTCAAGCATGTATGAGCCTCAGGAAGTGCATCTACATCAGGTGTTCTTCTAATTACAAGGAAATTTGGTTTTGCAGTTGCCACAGGAGTTCTATCAGTTCCTGTTATGAACTGCATGAGTGCTGCCTTATCATCTTCACTCATCTCATCGAATATCTTCCAGAACCATATAACTGGCTCTGAATTTTGACTATAACCGTTTTCATATTTGACACCTTTTTTGAAGATGTTCCAATCTCTTGTTGGCAAACCAGAGACCAAAATGTCGAGCTCGTCAGGCAAGACATAGTCCAATATGTGGAGTGACTCGAGTTTCTTGAAACCTCTCTGGAAGGCGGAAAACTCGTTTGCAATGTGTTTATTCAAGTAGAAATCGATTGACATCTGAATGTATTCTTCCAAATTTTCATTTGTCACATCTTTCTGGGATCCTCCAGGGATAAATTCCACGACAATTGGATCCCCGAACATCGTAACTGTCGCTTCAAATGTCAAGTACAAATCCTTGACGTCTTTTCCTTCTTGAACCATTTGTCTCATCTCTTTTATTCCTTTGACAATGTCCGGTTCTATTTGGTTCAAATCTTCGAGAGTCATCTTCATTCCAAGCAGTTTCTTGTATAAAGCAATCGGAAATCTGATTGGCAATATAACGGAATTGGCAATTGCAAGTGCAACAACTGTTCCCAAGACATTAAACTTCATTGGCTCTGAGAAATCGCTGTGAACAAACCAATATGTGTTCTGATTGATGATTCGAAACATTCCGTAGTCAGGAGAAAAAACAGCATTGACAAGAAGATAAAAGAACTCTCTGGAAAGGCCACCGGCATCAACTCCGGCTTCACCTGTAAAGAAAACTGACAGTTTACGTGTCAAATGCGATGGTTTGACTCTTGTCAAAAAGTCAATTGATTCTTCAACGATGTTTTGCCTTGATACTTCGAAATCCAAGTGTGTTGTCATTCTCTGTTTGTCCATGATCTCCCTGTACATGCACCTTGCTTTTAGACTCAAACTGAGGGCTCCTAAATATGGTGTAAAGTCAGCAATTTCATTTCTTTTGATGAAAAATTTTGAAAGAGGATCGTTGAAGAATGCGTGGTATGGAAGTTGCGCTTCGCTGCAGAGTGATGCGTAATGTAGATGTTTGACCATTTTGCAGGCGTATTTGATGAAATCGTAATATTTATTTGATGAAAATGATTCATGTGATAAAACTGTAATAATTGTTTGGCAAACCATAAGAGAGTTGAGAAGTACTGGAGGTATCGATGAAAACATATCTATTAATACTGTAACTTCCTCATCTGATAAATTATCAATCATAAAAAAGAATTTTTGAGATATTTGATTTTCGGTATGGAAAAGTAGAAAATTGTCAAAACAGAATGCAAGTATAATTGATCGGATTCTCGTATAAGTTTTCGAGTCGTTGGCGATAATTTTTTCAACAAGATTGTAATAGTCATTTCTAAAAGATTCTATCATTTCTAAATTGTGAGACAAATAGGCCAAAAATGATTTAAAGTCCGAACTTTCAAATTGATAATTTCCTTTACGAATTGGCTGAGATTTGGATGCGAATAGATATGGAAAGTACTCTACTTCTGTAAATAATCGTTTAAATGCGTTTTGTATTTGCTCTTTATCTGAAGATCGAATTGCTGCTTTTATATCAACAACTTTTTCTGGAGATTCTGTTTTAAGATTTGGACACACCATCTCGGCAAACGGTGTTGTTTTAAGTAAATCTAAGACTTTTGAGGCAATTTCATTTGGAGAATTAAATTTAAATGGAAAATTCGAGCAAGATTTGCACCATTTGCATTTACAATTGATTGAATCGCATCCATTTGTGAATTGGTTGAATAATTGCTGAACAGCTTCCTTTGTTGAAGTAGCTGCAGCAGAACTCATTTGGAAAACAACCCAAAAATTAAAGATATTTATGCTACTTGAACAAGAAATATAATCACATAAGCACATTATTCAGTTTTTATTTCATTCCGAAGCTCAATTGTGACAAAACAAAATTATTCGAATTTATTAGAAACACAAAATAAAAGAATATTACTTATATTTATTAACAAAAATCAAACAGACCATTTATCAGAGAATTTTTCACCACTATGGACAACTTGAATATGCATATTTCTTGAGATAGTCATTCTTTGCATAAAAACAATGGCAATGACCAAGCCAATACCCATTGAATCCATTGGTTGGTTTTTACCGAACCAAATGTAAATATTATCGCAATCTCTTAAAATATAAGCATTATCATTCTTGCAAAGGGACATTGTTGCTTCATTCTTAAAGGCAACAAGCTGGAAATCGATTTGATCGCCATTGGAAATGACTTGATAAATTTCTCTTCGATCTGGAGAATCCGGCTTAATTTCGGCTCTTTTTGGCTCATCTATCGGTGATGTAGAGAGTGCTCTAATAAACTCTCTGTCATCATTTCCTTGATAAACAATTTTTGGAACGTCATCGCGGCCGACTGCAAATTTAAACGAGCCTGTAAGTTCGGCTGCACGTAGTCTGGATTGATAATCACTCTCAAATCCAAACCAGAGAGTGCATGTAGCTCGAGTTCTCATAATATTGACGTCTGATGTCTTTAAAGAAGATACACATGCTGCAATTTCATTCCAATGAGGATATGGGGTCATTTTAAAGTTATAAAGTGTTGTAAATCCTCTGTTTGTTATGAATTCTAATCCAGGTGTTAAATGTCTTACTCCACCATATGGTGCAAATATTTGTAAGAACTGTTTGCATTCAAAACCTTCATATTCATGATGGATTGATGCAGAATTTTTTAATAAATTGAATAAAACTTGTATTCTTTCGTTAACATACACTTCATCATCAGGATTTGAGAACGCCCCACACCATAAATATATGTAATTTGATGGTGGGGTATCAAAATGATAAATCACGTGTAAAACGAGATATATTGATTGAGTATAAAAAGAACCTAGATCAGATGACTCTGTTAACACATTATTTTCATGGCGCCAGATATGGATACGCGTTTTATTTTGTGCTAATGCGGTAGAAAATTCATTAAAAGAAGCATCCATTTTTCTACAACGATTATTATTGCACGTTTATCAAGTATAAGAATTGCAACTTCAACAATACTGACATGACATATGCAAAACTTATGATGATTGAAAGAGACTGAATTAATCAATGCTCTAATCATTGGCAAATAAGCATATCAAATTGAATTGTTTATCCCCAAGCTAATAGTTTAAGTGGGAAAATGGAATTGCATCTTCAAGTTCCCCATCATACTACTATGTTTCATGAATTCACTCATATGTTAAAAAAAATTTATCTCAATTTAAAAAGTAAAACTTCATTTATCAGTGATTGTGCAATACATTACATTTAGTAATTAAATACATATGCATGAATCTATAAAAAAGTATTACAAATAAATTTTTTTTTTATGAAATAGTATATAACAATGAATAATAGAAATATAATGTATCACACAATCAAGCAACTAATGTCTCTAGTTCTAACAGCTGGTTTCTTGTTAATTTATTAAGACTTATATCAATTTTAGTTTCGTTATCGGTTGGACGGTCAATTTTAAGTATTTCGTATATTTTTTCATTAGCGTTTTCTTTAATTGCTTCGTTAAGTTTTTCCATTAAATTATGTAAGCGAGTTGTTGACCAATCTATAGAAGGGGTATCTAATTCTTGAATAGTTGGTTTTATACCACCTTTGACGGGTGGATTTGCCATTAGCAAAGCCATTTTATTTCGTAATTTTATGAGTTGATCTTCAATTGTTTTGAGGTTTTGATATTCTAAATCTTTGCACTTAGTTTGAAATTTATTTTGAAGATACTTTGCAATACCACCATACAATGATTCAATGCCATTATAGTTAATTGCGTTTTCAAAAATGAGATTAAAGTCTGAAATCCATTGCGAAAGTGTCTTGTATTTTCCTTCTGAAATTCCTCTTTTTAGAGTCTTTAAATCCATTGGTGTTTTCACAACTTTATAATAATTATCTGCGATATTTTCATCTGGAACATAAGGATTTACAAAAATAGCTGCTATCGGGTCTTTGATGAACTCATTTGTAATAGCAATCATTTTTGATGATACTAAATCTGTTAATTTTTGCTCACCACTCATTTTATCACTTTTTCCAATTTATTTTTCCCGAATAAAAAAAAATGTCAGTACAAGTATTTGTTTATCCTCACAATATAAGTACGTATATAGATGCCTTTAATAAAAATCCTAGTTATGAGACAGCTGTCAACCTAGCAGGGTGCATTAGTCCCATTATTATTAACAATTATCCAACTGATTTTTGTCTTAGCATTTCTGAAAGGTTGCTATATCAATTTTGCAAAGCCAAGGGCGAGAAAGATAGGCTAGATTATATATATTTTTCATTAGATCACTATATTTATTATTTAAGAGATCGTTCAGACTCTTCTTCAAAGGAAAACTTGGTTGATAAGATAATAAATGGAACTGATGGAACAGATCCATTTACATTTTCACAAGTTGAATATCCTTTAAAATATATTGAAGAACATTTTAATTTAAAATTAATTCATATGGCAGCTCAATTACTAACTATATATATCATCAACAATTGCCTCGTTATTGATAACAATGTTGCTTACTATATCGAAAAAATACTCCCTTTTGTCAAATTAGAAATTAAAAAAAAATTAGCAACTAAAATTATACCTCAAGGAAAGATTTCACAGCAACACCAATCTATACAGATGCTATGCTACCTTCTTGCAAGATATACTTCCGATAGAATTCCAGAATTAAAAGAATATATTTCTAATAATCTCAAAGAATTTCTCAAAAACAAAGATTTAATATCTATTATACAAAACATCAAAGATATCAATAAAAACGATTACCAAATCGAAGAATGCGAAGTTTATTCAAAAGAAATTCGACAAATTCTAGAAATTTACCAACTGTTTAACTTAGATGTTCCGAATAATTACGAAGCAACTATTATTGAATTTATTAAAAAAGCAAAAAAATATAATTTTATTAATGAACAAGACAATTTATACATAATTAAAGTATTTCCATCACTTATTGATAAGGGATCATTAATTTATTTAGATTCGGAAAAAATTATTGAATTATTTGTAAATCTTCCTTCTGAAGGTTTTGAACTAAAACCATTCTTTGAAGTTATGAAAAACAGAGAAATTGTTGATGATACTAATTTATCAATTGTTTTTGACAAAATTCTTTCGAATATGGACTACAAAACTGAAGAACTATTAATAGATTTCGCTTTAAACCACGCTGAAGTACAAAAACCATTAACAAATTCAATCAAAAATTTTATTTATAATTATGATGTTGAAAAAATGAAAATTATGCCAGTATTTATGATTACACGACTTTATCCTATTCTAGAAAAACCATTTCCTGATGCAGATTTGGAATATTTGATATATGATTCATTGCCATCTTATTATATTTTATCAAACTTAGTAAATTTAGGAGAATCATATAAATTATCGTATCCAGAAAAGCTTGTACAGTTTGTTCCTCCATCTCCGGCTCTTTTTACTTACTTATCTAACCATGTAACAGATTATTCAAATATTATTAGTTGGTCGATCGAACAAACTTGCGAATATAAAGAATATTTCGATCTTCTTATCAATATATGGCAACAAAACCAAGATCCAAACATTGCTTGGAAAATTTATCAATTATTTGACGTTTTTGAGAGAGAATGCGATGATAGTATCCTGGAATCTATCCAAAATGCCGAACCAAATGTTATTTTGGAGAAAATGTGTAGTAATTCAGCTGAATTTCTTGCATCTTGGCTAGATCTCTTTGATTTATCAGGAATTGATCCGAAATATCTTTATAACAAGCTAAACGAACATCCATACTTACTGTTCTTGGCTAATAGACTGGATGAAAAGTTTAATTTCGTTTTTGATCAAAAATTATTTTCAGAAATGAAGAACAATAGCAATATTTTTAAAGCATTTATACTAGATTCTGCCCTTCAAATCGCTCCTAATGAATGGTGGAACTTAATTAAGAAAAATCCAGAAATTCTAAAATTAAATTTCACAGAAAATGATTTTAAGAAGAGTATGATACCGATATCATCAACAATATGCAATATATTCCTCAAATGTCTCATGAAAATTGAAGTAACTCCTGATTCTGATTTTGCCAACGATAGTTTTATTCTTGGAGTCAAAAATCTATCAATGGATTTATGTGATGTAATTGTAGATTACATAAAAGTTGATGAAAGGATCCTAGAATGCGTTTTTTCTCAGGATAATGAACAAGTATGTTATGTTTTACTGGATCACTTAGATTTGAAGGAATTATCTGTCACTGCATTGGAATATGCTTCAAATGCTACATTGATTCCTTTGGTAGAAAAAGAAAGACAATTTATATCGGATGAAAATTTGATCAACAAGCTTCCTTTCATTAAACGGAATGAAAATTATGAAAAAATTGTAAGTTTTATTATTGAAAGCATCGCCAAAACTCAAGAAAATTATCTTTCAATTTTTGATCTCTTATTTTCCACAAAATTTACAAAATTTAACAGAAAATCTATCGCCAAAATCATTTTCAAGAAGCTTCCTGATGCAAGATGGCTTGATTCTTTTCTTAATTTACATGATTTTGGATCATTCTTGCGAGAACATGCTATTCCTGTTATAGACACAATGAACCAATATCTTGTTCCTTCTATCCTTGTTCTTTCGACGATTCCTTTCGTTGTAAATAATTTTGATGAAATTTCTCCACTTTCTAGGGCTCTTCTTCAACTTTCGCTAACACCATCGTCTCGTGTTAACATTTATGACTTAGATCTTTCAATGATCAATAATTTTCCCGACTTTGAAACAACGTTTTCATATCTCTTGTCATTAATCCCAAATAACGGATCGTTTGATTTCATACAGCAATTATTATTAGATGAATTTTCATATCATTTTCGAGAACTCACAAAATCAAATTTATTATTTTTTGAATTAAAATTCAGCGAGCCAAATAAGGACTTTTTGACGACTGTATTAAACACCCATATCAATTTCAAAAACGACGATATATTATCTGAAGAATTGAAACGTCAAATCGGTACAACAACATCAGCCAAGTATATTTCTGCTCCAAAGGTTATTTGTTACAAGTTATCTGGTGATGTTCCCAATGGAATGACCATTCCTCAGGAAATTTCAAATCCATATTGCCTTGTTTCCACAAATTATCAACTGTGCGGCTACATAGCTCAAGACGAATCAAATTTATCAACATATATCATTTATAACCATACTTTACTGAAATTTAATTCAGTTAAAGTGGAAATTAGGGAAAATACCGATAGTTCTGATAAAGTCCTATATGCATTTTACATTAGAGAAGATTTAGCTAATCAGGAGATCAAACATCAGCTTCATTCAAGTGAAGATTTAGTAAATTCTTCAATTTCATTTTTGCTTTCAGATAAGGATTCAATTGATTGGTCGGATATGAAAGACAAGCCAAATGCTGATCAATTATCAATAACTTTGAAGAAACAGTATTATAGCTTCAATTTGTTTAATTTACTTAACGAAAACACAAAAGAATCTTTTGATTCGAACGATCTCGAACATCCCACGAATAACATTCTTAATAGACAGTCTACTTCCAATTAATTTCAATCAATTTTTGTTATTTGTATTTTAAATATTATTTTAGTTTTAATTTTTATTTTGCATCCTCATGTTAGATGCTAATGTGTTAATAGTGATATAGTTTTTGATGGATAAAATTTCTTGGATTCATAAATCTAAACCATTATGGTTCCATTTCATATGAAATTTAAATTTTACCTTCTTACAAATCGTTTTGTAGTCTATAGGCATGTTTATTAGTTTATTTCTTTCATATAAAAGTCACTTTTTTGCCAATGAAGCAACTTGGAAGTCTAATCGCTACTAGGAAAGGGTTTACAGCTCCACCACAGATCGATTATTCTCGCTATAGTGAAACTGTAAATCTTAGCCATAACCCAATAAATACATTCGATTCTTTACCCCAATTATCAAATGTCCAAAATTTAATTTTTGATGATACAAAATTAGAGTCTTTCCTTAAGTGCAGACTTCAACCAGAGATCGAATCATTCTCATGTTTAAATACACCGCTCGCTTCAAGTAAATTTTTACCGTTAATGGCAATTATTGCTTTTGGCGAAAATGTCAAAGTTGTAAATGGCTCAAAGGTTACACAGAAAACTCTCAAAGAAGCTCAGACTTACCACGAAGAGTTGTATCCTTATATTGTAGAAGGTTGGGTCATTACATCACTTTCACCCATTAAGGTATACAATCCAATTACCAAAGAAAAGAAGGTAATAAAGCAAGATAAGGAAAATCAGGCTAATAATCAAATCGAAATTGTTTTTGATCCAAATGATAAAACAGAATTAGAGGAAGAGAAAAGCAAAAACATTGCCAAAGCTCTCAGATACAGATTTAACGACTTAGTTCATCCAGCATCAAAGCAAAAGTCTCCAGTCAAGGCTCAATCGTCAAAACCAAAGGGAACTGTCAAATCACGCGGATTTGCATCTCCACCACCATCAAGCCGCCAGATAAATCGTGAGAAATCACAAAATACAAAAGTTACTGTTAAAGCCGGAGAAAATCCATTCGAAAAGAAGCAGTAATGTTTTCTTATAAATATTGAACCCAATTATTATTACCTTTACTCTCAAAATGTTTCAAATAAACAATCATTATATCAAATTTCTCTTTTTAATTTTTTTGAAAAAATTATTGATTTCGTATTGGGTTGATTTCAATCTAACCATAAATAAAAGTTAAAAAGTTACTGATATTCATGATGTATTTTCCAAAATACTAATAAATACCAAAATGTATTTTCAGATTTAAGTTATTTTGGCTAATATTCAGTGGTGAAAATATTCTATTTGTTATGCATATTATATATTTTGATTATTGGCCTCTTTGAATTGAGATGAAGAAAAAAAAATAAAGAAAAGATGAACGATTTCGACCAGAAGTGGTGCACAGACATGATCAATAAAATCAGATCATGGCCAATTGCGATACCTTTCTTGGAAAAAGTCGATCCAGAAGATCTTCCAGATTATAAACAAGTTGTTTCTAAACCCATGGATATTTCAACAATGAAATCCAAACTTGAGAAAAAGAAATATACTTCAATAAATGATTTCTTCAAAGATTTACAATTAATACATGATAATTCTTCACTATATAATGGCCCAACTCATATGCTTACTCACATGGCCAAAGATTTATTGATGGATGTACATCAAAGATATGCTATACGTGCAGAAAATGAAAAAGATTCTTGGTTATTCAAGCTTGCACAACTTAGAAATAGAATTAACGAACTTATCAAAAATACCCCACCAGAATTTTTGCAAGACTCTAAAGGAAAGAATTTATCCTTACCAAACAATTTCTACCCTGATCAATTAGATGATCAGCAACGCGCAAAAATGGAAATGATCGTCGGCGAAACTGATTTAAACGTTATTCCGAAGAATTGGGTACTATATACTACAAAGACAAAGGAAGATGTTATTAAAGTAATCAAAAAGAATATGTAATTTGTATGATTTGAAGGCAAAAATAAATGATATTATATTTTGGGATATAACTGATTTTCCTTCACCTGCAAATCATTGATTTATTTTGTGAATTAAAAGTTAAGTTTATACAATTGTTATCACTGAAAGAAATCAAGAAACAATATTATTTATTTAGAAATTTCTAATTATAAGCTATTACTGTTGTACATTTCATATAAGTATTCTATGGAATCATTTATTTCTTGTAGTATTATAATTAATCGACTATATTGATATTGAATCAATTGTATTAATGCTAAATACCATGGATAAACCAAATAGAACCTAATATAAGCGAAATATGATCTATATCAGAATCACAAATACTTTGATTTTGACAAGACAATTGAATTTACTGAATTCTCTTTAGTTTTTAGAATTTGGAATGTGAAATTATCTTCATTGCATGTATTCCAAACATAAAATCATAATTTCGTAATTCGGATTCAAATTTCATTCGTTACGGGTAAGAAATTTGATGCAGCCAAATGAAAAAGTTTACAGAATGCAAAAATAATAATCAAAATAAGATCTATAGCGTTATTGCCTTACCATTTCGCATTTCTTTCTCAAAACTTTACTCGACCACTCTGCTCTGAATTTTTTTTCGAGATTTTATTAACCATAAATGCCGACTGTAGCAATTCGCCCAAATCGCCTTTATGAACTCATGGGTGTTGAACCAATGACAAAAGAACAGATTAGCAAGCTTCTCATGAACTTCGGCCTTGAATTAGATGACGAAACCGAGGAAGAAGGTATTTTATACTACAAGATTGACTGCCCAGCCAACCGTCCAGACCTTCTCAGTGTTGAAGGTCTTGCCGAAAACTTAAAATGCTTCCAGGGAAAGTCACACCCAGAGTATAAGATTCTTCCACCACAAGTCTCCATCAGAGTTGATGAATCAGTCAAGAATGTCCGCCCATTCCTTGTTTCCGCCGTCATCCGTGGCATCACATTCACAGATGAAAGCCTCAAATCATTCATTGATTTCCAGGATAAGCTTCACATGAACCTTTGCAGACGCCGTACACTCGCCTCCATCGGTACACACGATTTAGACACCGTTGAAGCTCCATTCGCCTACACAGCTGAAAAGCCAGAAGATATCGTCTTCGTTCCACTTACAGGTGGTCCAGAAGTCAATGGTCGCCAGCTTTACGAGCACCTCAAGGAGCACCAGCAGCTCTCCAAGTATCTCCCACTTCTCGACCCATTCGATACATGGCCAGTTGTTCGTGATGCAAAGGGCCGCGTCATGTCATTACCACCTATAATCAACTCCGATCTCTCCAAGATCACCGTCAACACACGCAATGTCTTCATTGAGTGCACAGCTACAGATCTTACACGCGCCATGACAGCTGTCATCCTTCTCTGCACAGCCTTCTCCATCTACTGCGATGACAAGTACAGCCTTGAGCAGGTCAAGGTCCAGGTTGATGGAAAGGACTTAATTTACCCAACATTCGATTACATCACATTCGATGTTGACACAGCTTATATCCATACAATCACATCCGTCAGAGACCTCACAGAAGATAAAATCATCGAATTACTCCACAAGATGCAGCTCAAGGGCGAAAAACTTGGCGATGGCAAGTTAAGAGTTACAGTTCCACCAACAAGATCCGATGTTCTCCACCCATGCGATATTGCTGAAGATGTTGCTATCGCTTACGGCTACAACGCTATCAATGATCTTCCAGAGAACAGAAAGGCCATCTCATCCGGCCGCCCACTCTCCATGAACGAGTACGTCGATCGCCTTAGCAAGGAGTTCGCCGCTGCTCTTTGGGACCAAATCCTTACATTCTCTCTTTGCTCACGCAAGGAATGCTATTCAATGCTCAATCTCGAAGATGATGGCAAGGCTGCTGTCCTCAAGAACGCTAAGACCATCGATTTCGAAATTGTCAGAACATCTCTTCTCGGCGGCCTTCTCAAGGTCAACAAGAAGATTCTCTCACAGCCAAACCTCAAGAACATCCTTCCTCTCAGACTCTTCGAATGCTCCGATGTTGTTCTTTGCGATTCAAAGGATGAGAACAACGCAAGAAACGAAAAGCGCCTTGCTGCTACAATCTGCGATGTCAAGTCAAGATTCCAGGACTTACACGGCCTCCTTGAGCGCTTCCTTATCCTCAATGGCCAAGATGCTATCGAAAATACAAAACTCGTTAGACAGGACTGCCCAACATGCATCCCAGGCCAACGCGCTGCTATCATGTACCACGGTCAAGAAGTCGGCTGGATCGGCGTCATTCACCCATCTGTCCTCATTAACTTCGATATGACAAAGCCAGTCGTAGCATTCGAACTCCAGGTTAAGCCATACTTCGACATCAAACACGGACATAAGACAAATTAGAAAATTAGAAAATAAACAAATTTACTTTTTTTTATAAAACAACAAATTCATACTTCATTCTTTTTAGCATAAAGAATACTATTCTTTATGTATTTGTCTGGTGAAAAAGATATTTTATAATTTTTTCCATAAAAAATTAAGCCTAACCTCATTAAATTGTCATAACATCGAGAATTTTATCACTATTTTATACCATATTTAGCCAAATATGTATTTTATTTGTTATAATTTTTTTTTTATTACAGACTCTGTGCATTTGAATTTCACTCAACAAAGTTACTAATGCACATGACAGCATGCTGTTTTTACTATACCAGTAAAAATAATAAAATGTATTATCATTTTCAGTGATAAGAGATAGCAATATTCTTATATATAGTAGAACTCATTATGAACTATTAATATATCATATTATCATTTATTAATCTCAAATAATTAATTCAAATGGCTTCATTTTTGATCCATAAAAAAAATTGCTGGAATTTTTACCATGATTTTTCAAACTTAATAGTTTCTATTGATAATAAACATTGTCCTTTTTTGAAAACAAAATAATTTTTCTAAAATCTGCTGTCAAAACTATTTATTTATTTATTTATTTTATGTTTTCACGAACTCACTTTGACTCATCTGATAAATTTACAATCGGCACAGATTCAAACATCCGTGTGAGAAACGAGAAATATTTAGAAAGCATTAGCCAAGAGTTCGTTCAAGAAATTTTTAATAGTTTACCAAAGAAACATGATGAAAAAAACTTTAATCATTTTAAAACTTATCTGAAATTAATCGGAATTAACATTGATCTCCATGTTGATATGTTTCCTTCAGTCGATCCAATTAATTATATCAAAAATGAATTTTCATATGTTTTCATTTACAATTCCGAAGATATCAAAGCATACTATTGCAATCCCGATAAAAGCAAGCCACAAATATACATTATTTCTCAAAAAACATATATTCAAATTCCACGAACTTGCACAATAACAAAAGTTATAGAAGAATCAACAGAAAAAATAAGTGAATACAATATGCTGACTTTCCAAGTTGAAGACGATAAAATCTATCCGTTGCCATTAGAAGATTTCAACATACTAAAAGATTTTCCAAAGTACGAAAAGATTAATATGGAACTTTCTCCTGTTGTTTTCATAACACCAAAAGTGAAATCTACTGTTATTCTGAAAGAAGAAATAAAAGAAAACGACGGACATGTAAAGAAATTTCTTAGTTTAGAGCTTTCATTATCACAAGGACTAAAGCAAGAAGCCAAAAAAAAGATAATTAAGCATTTCTTAGAGTTATTAGAAAGTGTAACACATGAAGAAAAAAGTGTAACATATGAAGAAAAAAGTGACACATATGAAGAAAAAAGTGACACATATGAAGAAAAAAGTGACAGTATATTCGAATTATTTCCCAATTTAAAGAAATCAATAGAAGAAGCGAACAAAAAGATCCAATCCGATCAGAAACAAGGATTAAAATGGAACATTATTAATGAAAAACAATTTGGACCTTTCAAATTCAAGACCATCTATGATTTTTATAATTATTATGAGAGAAATAGAATTCTTAATCCTTATTTCTATCTGTTATTTGATCAATATGATAAACAAGGAAACAGCAGTACAGTACCAATCGAATTGATTAAAATCACGTACGATCTATGGTATCATGCCGAGAAGAATCCAGATAATCAAATGATTACATGGAGAAGAGATTTGTTCGGAAAAGAATCATTAATTAAGTTACTTGAATCAAGTAACAAGATTTACTTGAATAATTTGAAATTGGCATACGAATATTGCTACAATAACCATATTCCTGCAACAGGATTTGTTTCACTTATTTATCAATTAGAAGGAACAAGTAATAGTTTCGAACCCGAAATTTTCAATAACATCAGTGATTTCTATGTCAAATTATTATATGATCGTCTCAAAGTTCCAAAAAATGACAAATCTAACAATCCTGACATGGGTTTCCATGTCAAATCAATTTCGGTTATGTCAGACAACTCAATTCAGGTTAGATTTGTCACATCCTTGGCTCCAACTGGCCAAAACTCTTATGTTTTTTCAAATGGATATACTTTGAAATACATACAGCAGGATTTTAGAGTTTACGATGCTAGAGAACTTGATGATGATCAGATGTTTATCCTTTTGGAGCATACAAAAACATCAAGAGTTTATTTGCTTTTGGTCAAAACAAATTACGAAGAAATTTTCCCAGTAAGAGACAGAAGTGGAGTTGTTCCGGTTCTTGAAGATTTACCAAAAACTTATGATATTGAAAAAATTAATGTTGACAAACAGAACAAAATTTTGGAAATTCAGTCTAAAAATGGAAATTATTATTACAAGGCTTATTCATCATATATCATACCTTATGGAGATGATCGGGTATATAATGACGACAAAGAATCAACTTACGAGAGAGACGCACCCAACGAACAAACAAATAAATATGATGGTAAAGATGTTCCACTTAAACAGATGTTTTACTCTTTCCTTTCATCACCGATGTTATGGTATGATCTTTCCAAAATTAATGTTGATTGTGGAAGCATATTGGAGAAAACCAAGAAAATGTTCCCATGCTTGGTTTTGACAAAGTATTACAGCCAGGATAGAGCTTCTTCTATCACTTTTGTTGACATGCAAGGTAAAAACGGAGTTCCCATGTTAAAGGATATAACTAATTTACCTTTTGTCGAAACAAAACCAGGAATAGCGTTCGTTGCTTGCAAACACGAAGTTGATGAAAAATTTGTATTAAATACTCCAATTTTGTATTTATCAGAGCCGATCAGCAACTCAGCTATGATAACAGCTTATACAATCTTCTGCGCTCTTCCCTCTGCAAATGTTGTTATATTTAATTTCTTCGATGCAGACATGTTCTTGGAAGGATTCGAAATTTTTGTTGAGAACTTCGAGGAATGGAATAAGATGAATAATCTCTACCAATATTTCCTTACAAACAAAGAAGACATGAACAGTCCACCAATCATCGTCTTCAATGGAATGTTTGCTTCAAAGAAAGCTTTCTTCGAGAGAATTAAATCCATCGCCTCCAATAACCAGAATTACAGTGATAAATTATTATATATTATGTCTAATTGCTACTTCGAATACAGAGAAGTCGTTGCAACAATGACAACAGAAAAGGTACTCAGCTCCATCATTAATTCAGGAGCTGCTTTCGCTGATATGGCTATCCATATATTATAAATATTTATTTTGAATTTGATAATTCTAGATTTTTTTTTAACTATCGGAAAAATGCTTTTTGACATCATGAGGATGTCATTATCATATATAAAATAGGAATGTATACTGATCTTTTGCAGCATTTTTTAAATTATCAAAGATATTTAAAGTAAATTTATGATTTAGAATATGTGTTGTGCAGATTATAACATAAAATATATGCATTATATATAACCTAAATAAAAAAAAAAAAAAAAAAAGGTATTGGGGCTTCCAGGGCTGCGCCCCTCTAGCCCCCTGAAGATGTTTAGTATAACACCAGGTCCCTCGGTCCCTCGGTCCCTCGGTTAAACGAACTTCTCTGAAAAAATGAGACAACATGACATTTTGACAACAGTCCAGGAAGTCTTAACAAGATAGGATGGTTATTTTACAAAACCGACAAGACCTTAACCGAGTAGTTTTCATGTTTTGTCACTTTTCTGTCACTTTTCAGGGAAAAAACATTTTTATTAAATATAAAATGAATTTTACAAAACCACCGTTACCCTTCTTTGGAAATAAGAGTAGATGTAAAGATATTCTATTGAGAGAACTTAAGAAACTACCGAATGGTCTAACATTTGTAGATTTGTTCGGTGGAAGTTTCTATATATCTCATTTGTGCCATACCGTATTTCCTGACTCGAAGATTATATGCAATGACTTCGACAACTATATGAACCGTCTCAAACATATACCAGACACAAACAAAATATTGAGTGAGTTGAAAGAAAAGATACCTATAGGTAAGATGGAACGTATACCATTAGATAAGAAAGATATTGTCAGAGAGGTTTTGAAAAAAGCAGAGTATATTGACTGGGATAGTATATCTTCTAGACTATTGTATAGTGGTTCTATAAGAGTTCATGACATTGAAACACTTATGTCAAACGTTTTATATCTTAACTATACAAAGGTTTTCAAAGAGAACATAGAAAAATATACTGAGGGTATAGAGTTTGTGAGATGTCATTGGACAGAGTTGTATGAAAAATTTAAAGACAAGGAAAATGTTTTCTTTATAGTAGACCCGCCGTTCTATAACACATACGATTTTCAATACCAAGTAGACTGGACTTTGAGAGACTCTTTAGAAACTTTAGACGTTTTACATAACCATCCATGCTTTTACTTTACATCCGATAAAAGTGGTTTGGAAACCGTTATGAGATGGTTAGAGGACATACATGAGTATGATTTTAGATACGATAAGATAGAATATGAGAGAGGTCCTATAAACCGGAAAAAGTGTCATAACAAAGAAATTTTATTGGTAAGTAAATGTGGTTTGAAATAGGACTACTTGTTTTAGGTTTTTTCCATTGTGTCATTTACTTATTTGACGTGGCAGAAAGATATAGAGAATATGAAGATGAACCAATACCAGCAAATGTTCAGCATATGTACTCGTAAGAGATATTTTTATCTAATATTAAAATGGACGCACAGAACTTAGCGAATGCACAGCAACCTGGACAACCAAACCCAGAGAATATTCCAAATGAAGTTAGAATACAAACTGCAATGGCAAACTATGGTCAAGTGCCAACAGATGTACAAATGCAAACTGCCATGTCAAATGACGCTGCGTTAGGCTTACCACCATGGTATGCAAATATGAGATGGAAAGAGTTTTATACAAACCCTGAAGTGGGATATAAACAACTCTATGCAGATGACGCGAACACAGGAGTTGACCCAGAGTATGTTTTCTACCAGAGGAGAAATAGAATGTATGAGCTCCAGTTAAAAAATGCTATGGAACTCAACAGGAAACGTAAGAGACTAGGCGGACATTAGATTTTTACATATAGTAAAATGGGTTTCTTCAGTAGTATTGGAAACTTCTTTCGAAATGTTGGAAGAGGTATATGGAATGGAATAAAAACCGTAGGAAGAGGAATTTGGAACGGAGTCAAAAATATTGGTAAAAGAGTAGGTCAGTTCGTTGGTATTATACCTAAAGACCCTGAACCAGAAGAACAAGCTCCTGTTATACAACAGCCTGAACCTGCACCACAGTCAAGTTGGCAACCAAATCCAACACCTCAACCGTATTAAAATTATATTTTTACCGTTCGATAGTAGTTGTATATGAGACTAAGTTCTAAGTAAAACGCGTGTATAATGGAACTATTCTCTTTCTTCCATCTGTAGTAAACCATACTTGAAAGTCTGAAATACTTCCACTCGGTGGTTCATATAGCTTTGTAGGTTTTTCGTAAAAGTCATTTGCCAAGCATAAAAAAGAGTTTTGTGCACCAGAAAATGAAGCATGAACGATAATAGCATCTGAGTCGAAAACATTTTCATATGTTCCATTAGGGTTTTCGACTTCATAAAAGTTCGGGTGTACTGGATATTCTGCAGGCTGATTTAACATCCTCAAAAATCTATACCATGCCAAGTTGTTATATTTTGTAGAAATATAAACGTCTTCTCCAAGGTCTTCTATTCTATTGATTTTAACAGTTGCATTTTTCCTGTCATATATAATATCGAGATGGTACTCTCCTTCGTCAATGTTGTACTGTTTTGCATATTCGAGATAGATATCGTTTATTTTTTCTTGAAAAGCTTGAAGAGTTGTTTCTAAGTTTACAAGCAAACTAACTTGTAAAAGTTTTCCCTGTTCAAATTTCTCATACGTACGTTTCTCTTTGTTATAGTATCGAATTTCAAAAGCGACCGTAAATGGGAAACCATGTATGGCTTCTGAAATGAACTTCATTCTACGAAAGCCAATAGCTTTTGTGACGGATGGGTCTCTTAACCATCTTAGTGGGTAGTCAAAACGATAGCCTTCATGCTTTACGGTCTCTGTCTCAAACTTTTGACCGACATTCGTAAAAAGTTCATCTAATGGTTTAGTTGTAGCAACTCTTGAATTTTCTTTTTCTATTGAAAGCATATTTTATCTAGAATAAAAATGTCAAATGAAACAGCGTCTATGAGAGAAATACAACACAACCGACAACTCATTTTGCAAGCTCTAAATAAGAACACAACAAACTTTTCAAACTATTCTAAGATATCTGAGTCATTGAAAGAAGGAAACTTAAAACTGACATTAAACCCATTGACAGACGAGTTTCTATTTCAAGACAGTAAGAACCATACTGTTTGTATAAATCCAACAAAAGGAACTTTAAACGAGAAACCTATAGATGAACTTCTTTTGAAAGCAGATGTTGGCAACAAAGCTGACAAAGAGTATGTCATTGAAAAAGTTCAAGAAGAACATGACAGAGCAGATGCAACATATGCAACGAAAGAACATACTCATCCTGAACTAGCAGACAAAACATATGTTGACAATAAAATGTCAAGTGAAGTGACAAGAGCTGACAAAGAATATTCTAAAAAGACTCATACACATACCATTGCAAATATTACAAACTTACAAGAAACCTTAAACAGGAAAAGTGACGTTGGACATACACATTCTATATCTGAAATAACAGACTTAAACGTTAGCCTTGAAAAGAAAGCTGACAAAACATATGTCAACAGTGAGTTAGAGGAGAAGGTAGATAGGGGTTGTATGGCTAGTGCATTAGATAAGAAGGCAGATAAGGAATATGTGGATGAAAAAGATGAAGAAATTAAAAAAATGGTTGAATGGTACCATGAACGGACAACAAAGATTTTAGAAGGTAAAGCCAATACAGGGTGGGTTTCAGGATGTTTAGACCTTAAAGCAGATAAAACTTATGTTAACGATGAGTTAGAGAAGAAAGCAAATAAGACTCATACACATACCATTGCAAATATTGCAAACTTACAAGAAACCTTAAACAGGAAAAGTGACGTTGGACATACACATACATCTTCTGAAATAACAGACTTAAACGTTAGCCTTGAAAAGAAAGCAGATAAAACATATGTCAATGAAATATACCAAAGTTTAGTTGGAACAACAAAAAATATTGAAACTATTGTTGGTGACTTTTCTGTCAATGAAGAAAACAAATATTTTAGATGGGAGTTTGTACATTCCTTAAAAAATGGTATACGGTATAAACTCATTCCGAAAAATAACAATGAAATGTATGTAAGCTATAAAAAGAACGATGGTACACAAGTTAAAGTTCCATTAGACAACAACTGCTACTTAAACTTATATGGAGACGAACAAAAGAAATATTTAAGAGTTTATGAAATGGCAGATATGACATTGCCTGACCCAGCTCCGGCACCATATTATTATGACTATGGTGCTGAAGGCGGAGCACTACACGCAGATGAACAAAAGCAAACATTATATTTAGAATATTATAGATATATAAAGATATAATGCAATAGAAAAAACCGAGAATAGTATACTATTATATAGATGACAAAAATAAATATATAGTCAAGATTTTACCTACCCTGAAAAACATAAGATTATATTATAAAAAATATTCTGACACAAACCAGAAGAAACCTGAAATAGTTGCACTATATTTTAAGTTCAGAAGAGACAATCCTATAATATCTCATATGTTTGATTTCATGAACCCAGTAGGTTCTATTTATACATCTATGGAAGCAAGAGGTCCTCAAGTAATGTTTGGTGTTGGTGCATGGGAACAAATAGTCGACAGGTTTTTGTATTGTGCAAACTCTTCAAAGGAAACAGGTGGTTCGAAGAAAATTAAAGAAGCAAACCTTCCACCGCACACTCATTACAGGAACTACAAACTTTTCTGGTGACCATAGCCACTCATTACGAGACCATCCATTATACAACTCAGAATATTATGCTGGCAATGACGTTTTATCTCCAGATTATAACCATTCGGCAAAAAAGACTTTTCGACCAACTGAACCAGGAGGAAATCATTCACATACTTTCACAACAAATCCAACAGGCTTGGGTGAAGACTACATGCCACCTTACATGACAGTTTACGCATGGTATAGAATTGCTTAGTCGTCATGTTCCACTTCTTTAGCATATTCGTCAGGAGTTGTCTTATATTTGTTAGGAACTGTCTTTGAAAGTATACCACCTTGAACCTTAACAAGTTTGAAACGAGGTCTGACAATAGTAGTTTTATCTTCTGCTTGCAGTCTGTACATTTTGCCATGTTTGCCTAAAACTTCATAATATTCTCTTGTATACTTTCTTCTATTTTTACGAACACGAATGCGAGTACCTGTCGAGTTCCCATTGTTGTCATAGTCAATAGTATTTTCATATGGTCGCGCGTTTAGTATTTCTATTTTTACTTTGTCACCTTTCTTAAGTTTGAAGCCTGGCATTCTTTCTTGTTTGTCTCTTTTGACTAAACTATTAAATAATATAGTCTTCTCTAAGTCAGGGTTGTTTTTCATTTTCTTCGGGGGAGTGGTTTCCCAAACCTTTTTGTTTACGGTTATTGTAAATATTAAAACTTGTCTCATCTTTGCCATGGAGAAGTGTCTATACTTGTCGTCATATGACATTTCATCTACCTCACCACCTTGTGGTTGATTTAAGTCTCTTAAGATTTTTATACAACTGTCAATGACACCAAGAGCAGAATGGTTTTGGTCGACAATGAAATATTGGTTTACATTTTTTGAACGCAGATAGTTTTAATATCGTCTGATTTGAAAGAACTTTCACAGTCAGATGTCAGTTTTGTTGGATGGTATTTGTCAACGAATATTGTCAAAGCAGTTTTCACATCTAAATATTTTTGGACTGTAATGGTATGGCTTCACAGTATCTTGTTTTGAACCGACAAATATTAGCCAGTATGGTGGTCCATCTTCTCTATACCTCGGAATGTTTTCCATGATATCCCATAAACCAAGCATTTTGGTGTTGAACTAAAGATTTTTACCATGAGTGCTTTCTTTGTGCTTTAGAAACATACGGGTCCTTGTTTGGATTCGTCATTTTTATCCTATAAGAAATGGGTTTATTTGGGCGTTAGCAAGGAGTTGCATCTAGATTTTTACCCGCAAGTGGGAACAATAGCCAGAGGTGCATTTGGAATTGGAAGGAAGATTTTGAGTACATTAGGTATACTGAAAGAGAAAGCACAACCTATTATACAAACTGTACAGAAGGTTGGGAGGTAGCACGAGATGCAGCAAATCTTTATTCCAAATCCTGAAACAAGAGGAAAAGTTCAAGGATGGATGGACAATGTAGGAAGACAAGCAGGAAACTACTATAACAAAGCAAATGACTACTATAACCAAGCAGGACACTACATGGACCAAGGTGAAAGATTCTTTAACAGAGGATATAACCATGCACAACAGTGGGTAAACAACAACCAACCTCAACCGCCTCAAACGTGGGGAATGTAAAATTTTTTACTGAGATGAAATGAACAAAACAGCATTGAGACAAATGGGCTCAAGATGGATTTGTCGGCTTCCAGCAGTTACACAACCACGTGTTTGTCAATTCTTCCTATACCTCAGGAAGTTTTAGACCGACTTAAAAAACCTAAACAACCAGTTGAAAACAAAACAAACTAAAATTTTTTACTGAGATGAAATGACCGAAGAAGTTGAAACGGTAGATTTGACACCACAAACAAAAAGTTCAGAACCATTGTCAAAACCTGTCAAAGAACTTACAGATGAAGAGAAAAATTCAATAATAGAAAGTGCTAGGTCTGGAAATACAAACTCTAACTACAAAGTCACTTTTCATAAAAATGGAACGGCAAGTATCTCAAAAAAGAAACAGACTCTCACAAATAAAATATTGAAGTCTGAAGGAGCTTTCGAGACAACAGATGGAAAAGTTTACTTCACTGACCAACAGTTCATTATAGAACATCTCATTGACTTAGAGTCGAAATATTCTAAACTTTACAACAAACACAAAAAGTTGAAAGGAAAACAAAAACAAATGGCATATGATATTTATGAAGATGTTGACGACACAACTGTTCCTGCAGGTGAGGTAAAGTCAGCGGAACCGAAAAGTGACGAAAAACCGATAGAAGAAGAGAAGCCACAAACTGAAGAAAAACCAAAACCAAAGTTTAGTATTGAAACTAAACCAAGCCAACCTTCATTAGCTGGTATGGGTTGGCGTCAAAGACTTTTGGTAGCAGGTGGTTACGTAAAGTAAAGAAAAAACATTTTTTTATTTTTATAAAAAATGCCCCCGTATAGAATGGATAGAAAATCTGCTAGAATAAAAGCAGAGTTAGAAAGATATGGTTGGAAAGTTTCGAAGAAGTTTAAATATAGGAAGGGAAGACCCATAAAAGTCTATGACAAACTATCTGGTCTTCGCTATGAAATGGACTTGGAAACAGCACGCGCAAATTATCCAAACAGACTAGAGAGGTTAGAAGAAGAACGTCTTATGAACATGCCTTTCGATGTTACTGAGCCACAGGTTGAAGGACACGACGGCTTTGCCAGATTCTACTGGAAACATGACGAACAATTGCATCCCTTGAGACGGAAAAAAGGGAAGGGTGAAGACGCACATGCTCCCATGGAAAGAACAAGATATGCATATGAAAAGTATCGTGAAGTTAGAAGTAAAATTACTTCTGGTCGAACCTTTACAGTAAACTTTGAAGAAGGAAAGAACAAAGAAAGTTAGTATACAAGTCTCGTGTACGGAGGCACTGCGTTCCTCCGTACGCAATACTTGTGAATTTGACACTTTACAAAACCGTTAACGTATATTTTACAACACAAACGACAACACTAACTTAACCTTAAATATTTACAAAGCCACCAACCACTTCACCTCACTACTGTAAAAAATAAACGTTCTCACTTACAAAAGTATTGCAACTCCTCCCATTGCTGTGCTTCACATAACAGCTCATAATCTTCTGACTCACTTTCTTCTTCATATAGGTCAAAGTCACTGTCAAAATAAATGTTAGTAAGTTTTGACAAAGCTAATGAAACACGTTTACCGTTTGTATCGTATGCTTGTATAAACTTTCCATTCTTCATTCCTTCATAAACGCTCAAACTAACTTTACCCTTTCTCCCTCGTATCTGATAGAATGTATTTTCACGAGGAACGAAGAACAAATTCTTGAACTCATGACCGTTGTAGTTTGTTATCTCAATAGTTTTCGTCATTTACATCCAAATAAAATAAAAAATAAACTTAAAAATTAATGATATCACCACCCTCACACGTATGAAAACATAGCACAAAAATAAATTTAGGTGAAGTGGTGAAATCTCACCTCTTTTTTCACCTCTTTTTTCACCCTAGCCGCAAAGCGGCTCTGACCCTTTGGGTCTGTTGAATTCATTGCTTTATAACTCTCTTCCTTGGTTTCTTTTTAGTTGCTTTCTTCACGTCTGTCTCCAGCTTAACTGTCTTTCTTCTTCGTCCGTAATGATACCAGTTACTTCCACCAGTCAATGGGTCAAATGGTCTTTCGTAAGGGTTTCCATACATTCCATAGGGACCATACGGAAGAACTACTGGTGGAGAAGAAACATTTTCTTTAGTTCCATCGACTCTATTTAAATGCATTGTTTCACCTTTCATCTGGTCATTAAAGTCTTTTGCGTGTTTTGCAAACTCATCGTCCTTTCCTAAAGCATTTTCTGACTCAGTCGCAACCAAATTGGATGCTTTATTTATGAGCCCTATTTTATTTAATCTTAACTTCTTTGCAACCCAGCCTCCAATCTTTCCTTTATTTGCATCTAATGTCTTCGAAACTCTTCCTCCACTCATTTTATTTACTGCGTCATAAGCCCCAAGTGCTTTTGCTCCAAATGCTAATGCTTTTGTTCCCATTGCGCCTAAAGCTGCCCAAGCTACCATTTACACCATATTAAAATCATCTCTCTTCAATATTATCTCATAAAAGTTCTCGTTACTGGAGAAAGTCAATGAAACATAAACATTCTCACGTGCTTCACCCTCACCGCTTTGCGGTCTATCTAACTTCTTTCTTATCTCATCTATACGCTTCAAAATGTCTGAACAATTGCTAACATCTTCTACAACAGTTATTTCATCATGAACGACCTTTAAGAACAAGCTCATTTAATATGCAATTAAAATCATCTCAATAATGAGTCCATCCTTTCCATCTTTAGGTAGCACAACATCTTTCATTGAAGAAGGTTCGACAAGTCTTATGTTAAACTTACTGACAAAGTTTGTTATACTATAATGCTTCGGCGGCGAATACATGTAGTTTGAAAGACATAATATAGATTCTTCAGCAAATTCACTTATACTGGATTTTATAACAATGTTCTCACGAGACCAAATACACCAATTGACAATCTTGTAAGCAATCCTGCTGAACCTTCTACTGTAAACGTCGATGGTAACATTCCACGAAGGTCATCTATTGACATCGTTGAGTCACTGTATTTAAATATTTTCTTAAAGCAATCGTCATTATCTAACCATGCAATAGCTTTGAAGTTTTCATTCGAATATACATCTGCTTCATTAAATGTAAAACCTGACTTCTTTGCAGAGATGACTTTAAAATCTATTGAGTTTGTTTCAAATTATATGCTATGGTAACTTCTGAAGGTAATGGATGCCCTTCCGCAGTCAGTTGTTCTCTCACTACACGTTTGAAGCTTTGTGTTAAAAACTTTCATGTCATCTCCTGTGTCTAGGTTCACATACACAGCAATAGGAAAACTATCTTGCTTCTTTGTCTCATCATTATACCTCAAAACATTAAAGTTCTTCAATAATATTGTCCTTCCTGCTGGAATACTTCTAACTTGTCTTATTTCAATAGCTTTCTCACCTCCTACATACTCTACCCAGTGTCTTGGATATTCATAAGTATACTGACTTTCTTGAATTTTGGTTGGTTTCATCATAACGTGTTCATAGTATATCTTTATACTCTTGTCAGTTAGACTCGGTGCTATGTTCTGAATTTTCTGACTTGCATTTTAATGGAGATAAAAATAAGCATTTAATACATGACGTAGATGAAGACATGAATGAAACTACAGACAAACTTAACTCTTCTCTTATTCTTCCTTTCAGTAAGGACTATGAGTTCTGTTCAAATGGTGTGTATTTCTATTGTGGAAAGATGGGTTCAGGTAAAGACATTTAACCTCCATTCGTCATATTCTTATAACAGAACGTTTAGGTCAAGATCATATTATGACCAAATCATTATATCAGCAACTTCAGACTCTATGGACTCAACAGCGAAAACATTTATGTCAAAAGTTCAAGCCTCTGTCGTTAAAGTTCCAGACAGTGAACTCATTGAATTTCTTCAACGTTACATTCGACGTAAGAGGAAATATTATGCCATCGTTGAATTTATACAGTCAGGAATGCAAAAGACTTCTGAGGAGATGGAAAGAATTATTGACAAACACCACTTACGTCAATACTCAGGAGTTTACGATATGAAACGACTGACAAACTACATTCTATCAAAACTTTCAAAATACCCCTTCAAAAAGTATCCTTCAAACACTCTGCTCGTTTGTGACGACTTCGCCGGAAAAGGTTTAGTGTCAAAGCCTGACTCACCATTAGCTAACATCATTACTAAAGTCAGACATTACCACTTAACTGTAGCAATACTTATGCAAACATGGAGGTTTTTAGCTTTAAACATAAAACGTCTCATAACTGACTTCGTTATCTTTCAAGGTTTCTCACGCTATGATATTGAACTCATTTGGAAACAGTCAGGTATAACATTACCTTTTGAAGAAATTTGGGAAGCATATAAGTCTCTCATCTCTCCTCGTTCATACCTTGAGATTCATATCATGACTAATACCATTAAAGTCAAAAATATTCCATGGGAACGACCAACATTGTTTTAAAGTTTAACCTTCAATTGACTGATGGTAAACAAATTCCATGCATCTCTGTCGCCATTTCTGTTAATATTTTTGCTGTCATTCATATCATCCACTTCCCCATCCGTTAACTTTTGAGGATATGCGTTAGAATAGCTGTTCTTAAATGAAGGCTTTTCACCTTTGAGAGCATAAACTCTATAACTTTCTGCATACTTTATGTTTGAACCTCCTGAGCCATCATTGACATAAATTTTTATAGGCTTCCACCCTTTGTTCATATTCCTGCTTCTTCCCTTAGCTCTTTTGTTCAGTAGTTCTACATCTTTATACACTGCACCTGTCTCAGTGAATTCAACAATATTTTCATTCGTTAGCTTTACATTCAAACCCTTGTCGAGTATATTGTTCATTTCATACATATAAAAGGTTTTTATTCTATATGAAATGAGAAGCAAATCCATCTTAGCTGGTGCCGTTAATGTTCCAATTGAACCAACATCAAATGTTGACTCACGAACGACAAACAATATTGTCATAAAGAACTATAGTTCAGAGTGTTTGAAAGAAAAAGAACCAGAACTTAAGTCGGGAGGGCTCAAAGAGCCCATCATGGCATGGCGCCGTGAATTTAAACACAGCTTCAAACGCTAACGCTACATCAGATGTTAAGTTAGAGTATCCACCACTGGACCAAATTCTTTCAAGAGAAGCCAACGACAACCCTTACATAAATGTTCAAACAAATCCTTCAGATAACGTAGACCATTACCTTCTTCAGTTATACCAAACAATTTTACTCAAAGACGATAAGAAGCTTTTGATAAATCTTATAAGTAAGAACCAAATAATTCTAACAAAGGAGGACCTTGAAAATGTTATATCACGAATAACAGGAAAGCAATGTGTCATTGACTATCTCGACCCTGAAATCGAATGCTGTGGTCAAACGCCACCATTCATGAAAATAGGTAACATCCGCATCATTGAAACACCAGGAACTACAGGAGTTGAGTTTAAGTATAAATATTCGAACGAATATACAAAACTTTCAACAGAATATAAGCTTTGTTTGAAATATGTTTTAGTAAATTAAAGCAACTTATAGTATCTATCCAAAACTTCTTCAACAGTATCGAACTCATCTTCATAATGCAAACCTAATCTTATTGACTTGGTGCAGTTTTCACTAACACAATATAGCGCTTTGCGCTCGGCGCCTTTGACGCCTTTTTCTGTTCTCTTGACTGACATAACTAACTCATTTGTTTCATCAAACAGCAACAACCAAAGTTCATGACCTAATACATAACATTCATACTTTATATTTTTAGCTCTGAGTTCTCTTGTAAGCTGTTGCATTTAATATTTTCTAAAAAGTCTACTTCAACAGTCATTCGCACTGGTGCCTTCAGTTCTACAGGCTCTCCTTGAAAGTCAACTAGTCTGAATTGCATGTCTTTCAAATTATGAGGACTAATGCGAACCCATTTACCTAAATGAGTTGCTATGACAGGAACGTTTGGAATGAACATTGAATTGACTGCATAACAGAAAGACTTATATTCTACTGAACCTTTACTATTAACTCCTGAAATACCTGTGACATTAGCTATTTTTGACTCAATGTATAAACAATTGCCATAACATACGTATGGAACAGATTTCATCTCAATCGTTTTGTCAATACTTTTCAAAGGAAATGTCATATGGTATGCTCCCAGAAGCAATTGAACTCTATGACTCATTCGTGTTATCTTAAACTCCTTCGCATAACTGAACTTCAAAACTCCTGCAATAAGTTTAACATTCATT